TAATGCAGTTTGTGTTTCTGTTCCCCTTATAAGTCTCACTAACATTTGAAAGGTTTGATATAACCTGTTTTTGAAAAGACAGGCTTTTATTAGAAACAAAAATACTTAGACTAGTCAAATATATATTTATAAAAAGATTTACTCTGAAATCAAATTGAATTCTTTCCTCTGTGTACTAGAAATTCATTTCTCTCTCTTCTGCCAGTGCTATGTCTCTATATTAAAGCTTGATGGGAAATGACATGTTAAATCTGTTTAAGAAATAAATATCACTTGCTATATTTTGTTTATTTCTGAGCTGGTATCCTCTTGGAAATTACAGCATGCACAAATAATGTTGCACAAGAAATTAAGCTACTTTGTTCAGTGTCTGTTGCATGACTGATTGTGCAATCAGCCGTTCAAGAAGAATATATGACAAATAGTGCAACCACTTTCACAATAATAGTTGCTTGTGCGGAAATCCGCAAGATACAGTATTGACCTTGCTGTTTCTAAGAAGAATGATACTCTTGTAGAAAATTTGTAGCTAAGCAGCTTCTGGAGCTGGAGAAGCGTCTTGGATATACCAATTATATTTGCATGTTTTAACAAGTCACATTCAGAAAGCATGGTTTGTCATGCTAGATAATAAAATAAAGCATGCTTAATAAAAAGTAAAATCAGAAGCTTACAAAGCCATCCTCCTGGCCGCACAGGAGAAATGTGGGAAGTGCACAAGGCCAAGGTTAACTGTGGCTCATGGCTACTTGTTCTAAACATGTACCAAACATTCCATTCATTCATTCTTAGAAACCTTTATTGGCATTATACATGTACCAAACATGTAGTTCATATGGCCAGTATCTAAAACAGTGATGGAGAACATGGTCCTAGCTAACCAAGGTCCAGACTACAGTTCGCTTCAGCCTTCATTGCTGGCTATGCTAATTAGACCTGATGGGATTTGCAGTCCTACTACATTTGGAGGTTCATTTATTTAAAAGCATGGAAAAATGTTCTGAAATTGACGTATTAATGGCTGGATTCGTACTGGCAATATGCACTTGATTTAGGTAAAACACATAATTTGCTGTGGCAAATTGTTGATCATTAATGAGGTGAGGGCTCTGTTTCTGTGTATGTAGTCAATTATGTGACTGGATACATGCCCAGGAATGCAACCACTACCTTGTTAATGAGAAGCAATTTGCTACTATAGCTTATACAGTTTCCCTGACACATGTGTGAATTGCCAGTAGGATTCTTGCCAACGTCTCTTTTTGGTAGAGGAATGTTGTCTTATTCAATTGAGATTTTTTCCCCTTTTCATGTAGTGCACATACATTGAAATTGATCAGGTGCCGAAGACCAATGCCATTGCATTGAGCAGACCCTCGTGGCTATGGGGGGCGGAAATGGGAGCCAATGAACATGGAGTTTTCATTGCAAATGAAGCCATTGTCGCAAAAGAGCCAGCCTCTGAAACTGAAGCTCTCCTCGGAATGGACCTTGTCAGGTGTGTGATTAATGACTTCATTGTAGGTCTTGTTTCAGGTGTTAATGTTTTGAGCAATCACTACTGATACAAACTCTCAACTATTTGAAGGGGGTACAGTAGGCTGTACAGTAGGACCCCTCTTATCCATGGGATCAGTGTCTGCTGATTCACTTATCCATGGTCTGAAAATATTAAAAATATTAAATGAAAAATCCTAGGAAAATGTATTTCTAAAGATGAAGTTGCCAGAATGACCACTAGAGGAAGCAAGAAACCATGCTACATATAGTGTTTGGTATTAAAATGATGTTTGCTGTAATCTATTTTTCAGCATCTACTTTGGGGAGCCTTGGAATCGATCCCTGCAGATAAGGAAGGGGTTTTTCCTCTATTTATTGTTTAGTTGACTGGATAGATCAGTTATAGAGCCATGGAACCAGAGGCTGAGAGTTCAGTTGCCCACTGTGCCTCTAACCTGTGTGATGCAGGGCAAGCTGCACACTCCCAGGTCACTCCCAGAAGAAGAAAATAATGCACTGATTCTGAGTACTCTCCGCCTAGACAACCTGAAAAGGGTCATCGTAAGTCAGAATTGACTTGACAAGATACAGTTATTATTACCTTTGGGTAGTGTGGGTGGCATATAAGATACAGTTATTATTATATGTTATTTACTGAACCCTTGCAGTTCTCTTTAGCATCACCTCATCTTGTTATATAAGATGCCCATAATTGACAGAACTTTGCTTCTAAAGTTTACTTTTGAGTTGTAAGTGCTATATTTAATATTTGCTCTCTTTTGCATTATCAAAACTTAATGAAGTTTTAATAAAAATAGTTTTAATGAAAAACTTAATTTTTAATGAAAAATTTAATTTTAATGAAAAAATTAATTTTTAAAAAACTTAATTAAAAAAATAAATTTTAAAATTAAAGTTTAATTTAAAATATAATTAAAGTTTTAAAACTTAAATTAAATTAAATTAAATTAAGTTTTAAATTAAACTTAATTTTTCATTTTTTAATGAAAAAGTTTTAATGAAAATTTAATGAAAATAGACTTTTCATTAAATTAATCATCAGGTGCTTTTATTAGTTATTAATTGCTAGAACTGCTCAAAGACGGAAAGCAAGAATATAGTCTAATGTACTATTAAAAAGAGCAGCTACTCTGCCCAGCCTATGTGTTTCCCTTTTATCCTTCATTTTAAAAACATCCCACTGTGTGACTTAGAATTCTTACTTGTGTGCATGTGGGTGGGTAAGAAAGCTTGGGAATAATCAAATCATTGTCAGCCAACTTCAGCTCATGCAGCTCAGTGGAAACTATTTGTTGCACATTTGAATGTTGGGAAATGAACTCTAGAAGACAGTATTGTCTGGTAGAATTTTATTGGCATGGTTACTTGGGCCAGTTTTTTATATGATATAGTGAAATTAGTTTAATATAAATAGGACTATACAGCGAAGGGGAAGAAAACTAAAACGGTGAGGGTAGAATGGAAATGACATGGATTGTTTCTACCACAGGAGTGAAGGGCATTGTAAAAGAGCTTAGCAAAGTTATTTTACTGAAATACAGAAAAGTAAAAAAGTGATCAACTGTAATAAAATAATAATAATAATCGTGACGTCAAATCAATTCTGACTTACAGTGACCCTTTGCAGGGTTTTTCAAGTAGAGAATACTCAGAAGTAGCGTACCATTCCCTTCTTCTGGGGATGCCCTGAGACTGTGCAGCTTGTCCAAGGCCACACAGGCTGTTTCTTCTCCCAGGAGACACAGTGGGGAGTTGAATTCCCAACTTCTACCTAAGCCACTGAGCTATCCTCTAGTCTATAGGCTATAATAAGGCTTGCTAAAGATATTTCCTAAGGCTATCTAGTAAGTCTCCTAGGCAGACTTCCTGTCTTCGTTGCATTATTTCTTGTGCATGAACCCTTCTATAATAAGGCTTGCTAAATATATTTCCTAAGGCTATCCAGTAAGTCTCCTAGACAGACTTCCTGTCTTTGTTGCATTATTTCTTGTGCATGAACCCTTCAAATACAAACAATTTTCATATGTCAGTGCTGCCCTGCATGGGTAGGTAGGCCTCATAATGATTCTTAATGATCCAGATGAATTAGCTGAAAAGCCAATTTTTCAGGCAATAAATTCAAGGTGTATCTAATCAAAAAACAGAAGTGGGTGGGTGGGAAATACCTCAATGAGACTGGCAAAATGCCACAGGCATTAGCTTTCGAGAAGTATTGTGAGGGAGGGGATGCTGAGTGACTGGCAGCATTTCGTCTCCAAGATTAGGATGGCATTGGAATCTACCTTGCTTTGGGTGAGACTTGAAACCTTTTATTTTTCTCTCTCCCCACCCCCACACCTGATAAAGTCTGCTTGCAGGACTTGAAAGCAAATGCCTGTAAGGTTTTTGTAGTCCAGTAAAGGTATCATCCAGCCTTGTTTCTGGATTTTGTACAAGGACCACAAATCTTTTTTTTCATAGTATATTCAGCAAACACATGCGATGCTTTTTTTTCCTTTCCCTTATTGGTGCAGTTTTCAATGCTTCTATGTTTTGCTTTAAATAATGTCTTTTAATGATGTGAACCACTATTGTATACTCATTGTTTTCAGCTTTAAATATTGTCTTTCCATCATGTAAGCCTCCTTGGGTCCTTTTTAAAGAGAAAGGTGGAGTAAAAATATAATGAATGAATGAATGGTGAGTCCTCTCACCATTTATTTATCTCAACTTCAGCAACCATGCTACATTTTCTGCTTTTGTTCTTTGAAGATCTGTTTTGTTTTTCAAACACAGAAATTATAAAGAACAAGCATAGATTTAAGTGGGAGAAAATCAGTTTATATTCCAGTGACTCTAGTAATGATTGGATTTGTGGCTGGATTCCAGCAGATCTTAGTGATTGGGCAGGTTTATAAAGGGAAAGGTGTTCAATGGTTGTGGGTTTTTCAGGCTGTTTCGCCATGTTGTAAGGAAAGGTATTCCTTTAAACGTCGAGGTCTCAAGCTGTTTACGGCTTAAGGATTTTGATGCTTTTGTAAAGCTAGATAATGGCTGAAATAGTAAGTCAAGACCAGAGTAGGCCCACTAAATCAGCCAGGATATGTTGAATCACCCTCCTCTGTAAGTTCCACTGATGGGCCTACTCTTGTTGCATCTTATTATTAGATTTCTGTCAATGTCTCTATGCCTTTATGACCATATTCAGCTTTAGCTCATTTCTGTAAAAATGACAGAGTTAGTTTTGAAAATTAAATCTCATATATATTTTACTAGCAATAAATTTTATGGCCCAGCAAATTAAAGCTGCTTTATGCTTCATAGAACTCATCTGCTGTACAGTATTTTCTTATAGCATAAATATGTCTTAAATCCACGTTGCTAATACTTTATTTGCCACATTTCTGTCTTTTAGGCCAGTAAATTCTTTTACAGGTCACACCTCCCTCAGTAGTATTTTTTCATATAAGTTATATTGGGCAACACAGTATGATGTTAATTAGAGCTTTGAAAGTTACTTTTGTTAGTACAGTGGTTGAAAAGTAGCCAATTGCTGTTACTCATTACTGTGTTGAAAAAATAACTCCATGCATTATTTGTTATACTGGTTGTTAGTTTTCATTGCTTTGCATTATTTTGGGTGGAGGGATTTTACACTGATAATACTGGTATAAAACTTGGAAATTTTCTACGATGATGGCTCTAAAATGTCTTAAATGCCCTTAAAAAGTATCTTCTAAAGAAAATAGAAAATGTTATTTTTTATGCTAGTAGCGTACCTACATCCTACTCATCGCTTCATTTTTGAAAAGTGTTTTATTACACATTCTTTACCTAAGAAGTAACTATTTACAGGTGATTTATAACTTGGTCCGCTTATTTCCTTAACACAGTACATATAGCAAGTCAGAATTTGATTCCATCTAGCCAAGTACGGTCTATGCTGACAAAGCCTCTATATTTCAGTATCTTCAAATAACACTCCTATGTAATCTACTGAGTATTTTTGTTTAATGTAGCCAATTTAAGCAAAGCAGGTCACACTCCTTCAGGTAGACAAGGAAGCCTTGCTATAGTCAACTGCAGTTAAAACTCTAATACATATAACCATGTTGTTCCCGTTTGTTATCTACAGTGTGGGCTGGGATTAATGAAGCCACCAATCACTGTAATGCTTTACTGCACAATGCCTCCTGGAAGTGGTCACTGCCTCCTGGAAGTGGAACTGCATATTAATGGTCATTGCCAGGTGTGAAATGCCACATCATCAACTACATGTGCCCAGGAAACAGTCTATTTTGGAGCCATGTATAACTGTATAAACATTTGCCATGCAGCCCCACTATCAGGTCTAGAGATGGAGGCTTCCTATTGCACCGTTGTTGGCAATCGATTACCCAGTCCTGGCAGGAGGCGGGATGATAAGCCTTTCTGCTAGGTTGGAGAGTGGCTAATCCATTGTGGAGAACAGTGCAATAGAAAGCCACTGCGGAGCCAGCGGCAGTGGCAAAATCGTGAGTGGACACCCTCATTATTTCCACCTGTGCGGGGATATTTGTATTCACATATGAATACCCCCATCTCTAGTCATGCCTGAAGAAGCTGATTTGTCCATGAAAGCCCACATTAAAATATAACAATGTAAACAAAGGTGCTGCAAGACACTTTTGTCTTCTTTATTTTTTATTCTTGTTTTGTTTTTCTCTGACATGCAGTTAAGAAGGCATGAGTACAACTTAGAATGTTTTTGCTAAAAAACAAAAAAGCATATCTTCTATTTCATTTTGTATCAAAAATGCACACCTTGTTTTGTAGTTTCATGTCACAACAATATCCTGCAATGAAAATTAAAATTGTGACAGGCCTTCAGACTGCTCAGAATAAATCTTAACTGATGACCTCCAGAGCTAGAATGATGATTCTTTTTGTGATTGGGTTCTTTCTCTGTGAGAGGTGGGTCCTTCCAGACGGAGACAAAGATAACGGTACAAACATGGCTTCTTTTATTCCTTTTAGCTTCTTGGTTATCAACATGGAAAGGGTCCAAACAACTTAATTCGGGCAATAACTTGTAACTTTTAACGCTTGTCACATTCGTATTCGTTACAACCCTCACTCCCTCTTCATCCCATGAGGACTTTGATCAGCTTTGCTCCATGTGGGGAAACTCAAGGCTTCACAGATCGTCCCGCAGCAGGGATGTTTCACGTAGTTCCCTTCCAGATATGGTAGGTACTGTAGCTGGTGGTACCAATATAGGTTACTTTCTTCCCTATCTCCTGTGAGCGTGTCACCACTTACCACTTCTACACTCCATCCCGTTTTCGGCTTTGTCTTATCTTTCTCCACCAGACTTGGGGGTGGTGGTTCTGGTAGTAAGCCTCCTCCAGTCCTGAGATTCGGGAACTCATGTACTAATTCAATCGGTTCGTACCGGGTAGCTGGTGGTACCAATATAGGTTACTTTCTTCCCTATCTCCTGTGAGCGTGTCACCACTTACCACTTCTACACTCCATCCCGTTTTCGGCTTTGTCTTATCTTTCTCCACCAGACTTGGGGGTGGTGGTTCTGGTAGTAAGCCTCCTCCAGTCCTGAGATTCGGGAACTCATGTACTAATTCAATCGGTTCGTACCTTTGTGATTCTTTCCCTTCTGTCTGAGTGCCCTTGTCCTCTCTTTCAATTCCATGTTCTCTTCCTCCTTTTCCTTCCTCCTCTTCCTTTATAGCCTCGTCCCATCTCATAAAGTCTAGCTCCTCCCCTTTTCTGGCTCGTCTACCTTCTGCTAAGAATATTTCTACAGCCTTATTCCTCCCCGTTTCTCCCTCTTCTATCTTAATCAACAATCCCACTGCACAACCAGTTATTATCTCTTGTCTGCTTTCCTCGGAGGATGGCACACTATGCTGTTCTCCTTCACATTTTTAAAGGTTGAGTTATTGGTGAGAGTGCTTCAGCTGACTTGTATATGCTTTTGTAATATACCGTAGTAAGAGTTTAACTGCTTGTGAGGGTTCGTCCCTTGGTTCCCCTTTTCTTTCAAAAAAATCAGGAGATTTGCGTAACTTTGAAACAGGAGCAAGGTTTATTGGGGTATTCAACAGATAACCTGTGTCAATAAAATTGTCCCATAACTTTTCTCCTGCCACCAACAGGTCAGGCAGGGGCTTCCATCCTTTAGTCAGGAACGGCTTGCCATCTGTTGGGTTCCACGACCAACGGGTCAGGCAGGGGCTTCCATCCTTTAGTCTGGAACGGCTTGCCATCTGTTGGGTTCCACGGACCCAGCCAATCCACCGATACATCTGCTTTCACCGTCTCTCCTACTTCTCCTTCCAGTAAGGATATGGTGTCGTCATCTCGGGGCTTGGTCCACCCGATGTCTCCAGACGGCGTAAGGGTCACTCAGGGTCCTCCGATAGTCTGTCCTCCTCATCTCGCTCACTCTCCATTCTAAACGTTCTCTCCTTTCTACTTTTTCCTTCTCCTCTCTCAGTCTCCTCCACCACTCCCTAGCCTTCGCTTCACCCTAATAAGAGGGTATCAGGGGTATCTCCCTCCTCTTTCTGTAATAAGCCTCCTTCTTTGGTACTCTGAGCCTTTCCAAACACCAGTCCACGGGTCCTCCATCCAGACCCATTCCCAATCTGGAGGCAACTGACTCTCTCCCCTTTTTATCTCTGCTGTTCCTGCCTCCATCCTCCTTGTTCATTCTGTTTCCCTCAACTTTTCTTGAGTTTCCTCAACTGTTAACCTGTGTATCTCTGTCCAAGTCCCATGTATCCGTCCCCCGTTGTTCTGTTTTCCAGGGAGATGAAGTGGGCAGAGTTTGTATTTCTCTCTCCACCGTGTGTGGAAGGGACGGCACTCCGGTGAGAGGATCCCTACTCTCGCCCCCAGTGTCACACTGCTTAAAAGGTTAATAATGTAATAAAGCCAGCAAAAGGGGATCTTGTTATTTACAGCTCTGTCCAAATACTGTATAAGAGTTGTGATTCAAAATGCCCAGTTCCGCTTTATGTTTTACCTGTATCTTGTCTTCTCTTTAGTCTGCATTTCAGAAGCATTCTTTCACTGGAGATTCTTCATTATGTCTTCCCTTGTTCATTTAGTTCTTTTTCACATTTTCCACATTTTATTTGCTATTGGCTTCTTTCTGTCTACTTTCTTGCTTTTCTTTCTGTACCTTCTGTCATTCTTTCTGCCAAGCTGGTTCCTACCTGGCCATCGGTCCCTTTGCGGAACCTTCTTCAACAGTCCTTTTGGGGCCTTTTGGTTGGTTTTCCTTTGGAGTGCATCTCCCTGAATTCTCCATTCTGAGATTTCTGCCTGCCAGATAAAGACCCTCATACATGCAGTTTTACATTGGACAAAGATCACTACTTAATCCTCGAAACTAATATGCTAAAGTATTTAATTTAAGTGGAATTTCCTGTATTGTTAGAGGAAGTTATTTCTGTGGCTTGTGGCTAGATTCTTGGTCATGAGCAGCTAGTGATGATTGAAAGGGTGCTTCAGTGACATTGGCTCTCACATTGCAAGTTTTGGAGAAGGTTGAGTTAAGGTTGAACATTATCACTTGCTGCAACAGAAAACTTGGAATGCAGGAATAAAAATTTTAGTAAACTCTTGTCTCCACTTATTCAGAGGACGGTGAGAAATGAGAAGTTAATAGAGATGTAGGATGGTCAGAAAGTAAGAGACCTGAACAAACAAACATTTAGTACCTGCCCTTTGAAGGTAAGCCCAGACATAAGATTGCAGGGAAATTTCCAACTATACCAAATAACATCATCTCTTCAAGAAAAGGTCTGAGTCCCCATCTTAGCTTTTCTTTCCAATTATAGTAATCGGACCTTGGAAGTTCACAGTTTAGGCAAAAGCCTCTTCTGTAAATTATACCTGCCAGAAAGGTGCCTGGCTGGGAGGAATTTGGATTCAGTACTGAGTCAACTGGCTTAGTGCCATTTCACAGAACCCTCAGCCATTTTGTCTAGTTCGGACTGTGCCCATTTATAGGGCCAAGATTGGGCTATCTCCTGTAAATTTTAATTTTTTTTAAGTTTGTAAGGTTTTAAAAGAAGGCATAGGTCTTTTTTGCTTTTGGAAAGAGTGAGCGGATGACTTCTTACTTTTGCAAAGTCTGGCAAACTGGTATTTTAATTAATAAGCAACGATGCTAATATAATGAGTTAAGTGTTTTCTGTTTTAAGTTGTACACCAAGTTAATTTCCTAGTTTCAAATGTTTAACATCTACTAATTAATGTTAAACTTAACGTCCCAAGCTCTGATACCAATCTATATGACAATAAGAATATCACTTAAGGTTGTTCTTTTATTTATTTATTTATTCCATTTATATGCCGCCCATCTAGACATGGTCTACAAAAAATCTTTTTGTAGGAAGTTAATCTTCATTGATTTATAATGGAGTTGTCAACTTTGTTAAACCAAGGACAAAATAGTGGCCTTTGACCCATGTAGGTGTACTGTAGCTCTAAATCCAAGTTCAGTTCCTGTCTGACTCATGGAGCTGATGGTTGACTGTGCCAAGCTAGATGTGCTTTCTTACCCTGACCCACATCAGAGGGTTATTGTGATGATAAGAGGAGGAAAAGAGCTTTGGGTTCATTGGCAGAAAGGCAAGATCTATATTAAACAAATAGAAGCATGTAGCCAAATAGTTGTTTGCTTTAGGTTTCATTTTATCTGTTGGCAAACTGATCAGTTGCTTGTTTTTGTCACATTGTTGAAACTTGATAGGACCTTCCACTGCTGCTGTAATCAAGTCTTTTTTCCCTTTGTTTGGCCCCCATCCCAGGCTTGGTCTAGAAAGAGGTGCCACAGCAAAAGAAGCCTTGGATGTAATCGTTTCTCTCTTGGAAGAGCATGGACAAGGTGGAAATTATTATGAAGATGGGAAATCATGCCACACTTTCCATAGTGCTTATCTGATAGTGGACAAGAAAGAAGCTTGGGTACTGGAGACTATTGGGAAATACTGGGCAGCAGAAAAAATTACAGGTCTGTTTGAATAGTTAATCCTTTTGTTGTTGTTAATATTTTTATTTTTTATTTTAACTACAGCATAAACATACACATAAAATACATAAACCAAAATACAAATCGACTGTGTTTCCCGCCACCATAGTCGGGACCTCTTGCAGTAATCCTCTTCTTCCTCTATCCTTCTTCTTCTTCTTCTTCTTCCTTTATTGTCCTCTTCTCCAGAACTGCATTGATTCTTGATTTGGAGCTTTTCCTTTTCCTCTTATTAACACATATTCAAGAAATCTGCCCCATATATCATAGAAATTATTCTTTTTCATCTCTCCTTTCTTAACATTTAAGTTACAAGTTAACTTATCATTTATAGCAATGTTCCATATTTCATCATGCCATTCTTCCACTCGAAATCCAGACTTTGATTTCCAGTTCCTAGCTATTATTAATCTAGCTGCTGTTAGTAAATTGGTAATCAATTCTTTAGCCATCTTATCATATTCCACATTCTCAAATATTGATAACAGAGCTATCTCAGAGTTAAATTCTATATCTTTTTCATATATGCCATTTAGTTCTTTAAAGATTAGTTTCCAAAATCTTTGTACTTTTTCGCATTCCCACCACATATGAAAGTATGTACTAATTTCCTTCTCACATTTCCAGCAGACATTCAGATAATTGGCGTGAATTTTATTCAATTTTGTCGGTGTTAAATACCATCTTAAACCCAATTTGAATTTTTTTTCTATTATTCTCACTGACATAAATTGTAAAACCCTCATTTTCCACATCTTCCTCCATTCTTCATCATTTATTCTTT